CCCCCCCGCAGGGGAAGAGGTTTTTTGAAGAGGGAAAATAATCTCGTTAGGCCACCTGCGCCCAAAAAGCTAGTGGGATTTGATTACAAGGGTTCGTGCTAAACCCGAGAAGATGATGCAACAAAAACACGTGGGTCTTGGGTACGAGGTGGTTCGGGGTAAAGACGACAAACCCTGGGCTGCAGCTCGGGATCTGCCGCACTCTCCTTTTTAGCGTGCCGGATTTTTAGTGTTTGGACAGCAAGCCGAGCGGCACACTAAGAATTCGACGGGGTGGTGAGCTTATAAAGGTGTGGTGAAGGAGGTGTGGTGTTCTCAGACTGCTACTCTTGGGGGTTCTCTGTCACAGCTTCTGCGTGAGCAACCTGCTCCTGCGTGAGCAACCTGCCCACGCAAATGCTGACCACGCAGTGCTGGCTTTTTATTCCTCGCCCCTCTTGCGCACCCCAGACTTGTGTTTCTTGCCAGCCTGTGACACTACCGGCCAGCCACACGGCCAGCTTACTTACAGGCCAGCTCATAGGCACATTGTGGACGGCCCACAATAATTCATCCTTCCATTGGCCATAGTGTCTTTCCTTAGCAGCAGACCGTACAAAGCTAAATACGGCCGCGTATTTTTCTCGCAGAAAGCCAAGCGGCACTCTGGGAAATTGGGGTGTGGGAGTCTTACTTGCGGGAAGGAGGTGCGGGGTTTGGGGATTGCGGGTACTACGAAGCGTCACTGCAACACGTTGAAGCAAGGCATCTACAATTGCCACAGCGTGGCCAGCCAGAAAGACATGTGCCAACCACTGACATGACACACGCTCTCATCTTTTGGACTCAGTTCGGCTTCGAAGTATTTCACATGCAGCCTCGGACACAGCCGGGCAGCAGCACTTTGGATATTTACTTCTGCGCAATTGTAACACAGCAGTTCCCACTCATGTTGTATTGGCCCCCCACGATAACAGCCTGCCCACGTGGGACGTCACATGTGGGGGAGGTGTGGGTGGAGGTGCATATGTGGGGACTTTTTTATTGGTGGTGGTGGAAGAACGCATCTACTCACTGTTTGGGGTCAACCAGAACCCTTGACAGCAACCCTAGACCTGCAAAGTCAAAGTGCTCATGCACTATCTCATTTTTCCTTTGCACGGATCGCAGCGGGTCAGTTAACACTAATGGTTTTCTCTTCATCTTATGTGTTCATATTTGTTTGGGTTCATCCACTGAGGTACAAGCTGCATTACCTGGCGGGCGCCTGCTGTTCTACCTATGCTTTCTTTTCCTTGTCTCATCTTACTGCCTTCGCCGCGGCGCCCGCCAGATACCATTTTGCGCCGAGTCGGTCACATTTCGTTTGGTGCTGCACTTCACAAACGCAACAGGGTCGCACCTAATGTTGGTCTAACGTAAAAAGGAGGAGGGGGAGGAGGAGGAGGAGGAGGAGGACAGGGAGAAGGAGGATGAGGTGGAGGAGGAGGAGGAAGAGGAGGAATACTTGTGTAAACCAAATATTTATCAACGATGTTGTGTTTGAGCCTCTCTCCAAGTTCCCTTTTCCTAGGCCCCTTACAACGGTTTATTTCTATGGAGGGAACTGCCTCGTTGGAAGGCAACCGTTTGAAGACCCTGACGCATGCCAAAACATTGTTCTCGGGATTTCAACGCTACGGATCAACTTGACTGTTGCGTCTTGACGATCCGGAATCGTGCCAGAGCGCCATTTTCCGGACTTCGACATCGCGACTCCACATAATTGTTCCGCCCGCATAATCCGGAACCTTTCCAAAACGCACTTTCTGGTACATTGGCCATGGGAATTTGTGGAGTTCTAGCACATGTTTACAACGAATGTTCGCCGCGCTACAGCGAGAGTCTCAGAGTCTCATTTTGAAAAGGAGCCGCCCTCAAGCCGTGAAACTTTTTACAAAGTTTTTTTTAAGCGAATGTGCGCCGCGCTAAGGCGCGAGCCTCACTTTGAAAACGGCCGGCCCTCAATCCGTGAATCTTTGGCAAATTTTAAAGACGAATGTACGTCGCGCTAAGGCGAGAACCACATTTTGAAAACCACCCGCTCTCATTCAGTGAAATTCTTGCTCATTTTCAAAGCGAATGTGCGCGGCGCCCAGGCGAGAATCACATTTTGAAAACTACCCGCCCTACATATGTGAAGCCGCTGCCATCTTATAAGCTTCAGAACTTTACATGGTGAGGGAGTCTCATGCGAAACGCCCGGCCCGCCCTAAACGCTGCCCATGTGTGTGAGAGGGGAAAATTATGTAAAAGGGAAAGGAATGGAGGAGGAGGAGGAGGAGGAGGAGGAGGTCGAGGAGGACGAGGAGGAGGCGGAGGAGGAGGAGGAGGAGGAGGAGGAGGAGGAGGGAGGAGGGAGGAGGAGGAGGAGGAGGAGGAGGAGGAGGCGGAGGCGGAGGTAGAGGTGGAGGCGGAGGCGGAAACGGAGGAGGAGGCGGAGGAGGAGGAGGAGGAAGAGTAATCATAATCATGACAATTATAACAATAATAAGACGAATAAGAAGACAAATAGGACGACTAACAGTTATTCTAATAGTTTTTAGTAAGAAAATGATAAGACACATAAGAAGAAGCATACCAATAATAATCGTAATGCAAGTCAGCATGATCGTACTCATGCTATTTCTAATCCGTAAGGGCTTCGCCCCCTGCCGCCGGCCCCCTCTCTCGGAGAATGGGCCATGGAAGAGCTAAGTCATGAGGCTTTGGCGCTGTCGTGCAGCAGTATCGGAACTTCATGCGAGGCCGATTCGCAATCGGCAAAACCAACTGATCACAAGAGGGGTTACCACACAGGGCGATTGGTAAGACGTGTATGGTTTACGAGCTTGGTTACCACACCTTGGGATTAAAGGGCCGAGGGAGTACTCGCAGTTTGGGTTACCACGCCTTGCGATGGATGTGCGTGAGGGGTGGCACCGAATTTCAGAAATGTGGCAAATCCCTGTGTTTTTGGACCCTGACCCCGCGGATCTGCGTGAGGGGTGGCACCGAATTTCAGAAATGTGGCAAATCCCATGTGTTTTTGGACCCTGACCCCGCGGATCTGCGTGAGGGGTGGCACCGAATTTCAGAAATGTGGCAAATCCCATGTGTTTTTGGACCCTGACCCCGCGGATCTGCGTGAGGGGTGGCACCGAATTTCAGAAATGTGGCAAATGGACCCTGAATCTGCGTGAGGGGTGGCACCGAATTTCAGAAATGTGGCAAATCCCTGTGTTTTTGGACCCTGACCCCGCGGATCTGCGTGAGGGGTGGCACCGAATTTCAGAAATGTGGCAAATCCCATGTGTTTTTGGACCCTGACCCCGCGGATCTGCGTGAGGGGTGGCACCGAATTTCAGAAATGTGGCAAATCCCATGTGTTTTTGGACCCTGACCCCGCGGATCTGCGTGAGGGGTGTCGATTTCGAGCCCCCCCAGCAATTCAGACAACGCGCCCAGGGGACGCTAAAAATCCCGTTTGGGCCTCCCCCCCCCTCGCGCGGTCAATCAACTAGTTACAGTAACCAGCAAGAAGTCAACTAGTTACAGTAACCAGCAAGAAGCAGAACAGTAACACTGGAAACTACAAACTACAACTGGTACAGGAAACTGCGAATCACGCGCCTCGCAGCCTGGTGGCCCCACAAGGGGGCCGGCGGATAGCAACGCGAATCATACTCATAATTGTGAAGAAGGTTCATCATGCGAACAATAGACTAATACTACTAATCGGAAGAAACGAATCATGGCAATAGTAATAATAATAAGAGGAGGAGAAGGAGGAGGAGGAGGAGGAGGAGGAGGAGGAGGAGGAGGAGGAGGAGGAGGAGGAGAGGCGGGGAGAAGGAGAGGCAGGGAGGGAGCAGTTGAGCTCGGAGTCGGAAGCCTCGGCAGCTGGTTCAATATCGTCGGTCGGTGGCCTGTAATTCGCTTGACAACCAGACATGTGCTGCTGGCAGGTGCAATGGCAGGCGCGAGGGGAAAGCCTGCGGGACCCTATGGCTTATCAGGCCGCTTGGGCCCGCTTCGGACCAGGGCCGAAAGAAAACGGGCAGCGGCTTGTTTCACTGTGGCCCATCGCTGCTGCTCTCGGGTAGGGTACGATTGACATCACAGCTGTGATCATCGTCCCGTGCACTGACCACTGCAAACACGAAGCGCGCACTCCCACCACCCACCCAACACTCCCCCTCCAGCGACCCTCAGAAACCTTGTGTCCCACGGCCTAATCGTTTCAAGAGCTCGCCTGCTCGTACGTGCCCGCTTTTGCTTATTATTTCAGCTTTTCATCATCCGTGCTGGCTTCCATGCCTCGCTGTTAGCCGAACGAAGTATTTCTGCTCACGACTGTGGCCTCACTGCCGCCTACTGCTGTGCTCACATGTGCGCTAACCTCGCTCGGAGAAAGCCCTGCAGCTTCCTCTCTAGGGACGTCGGGGGAATGAGGATGAGTGGGAGAGAAGCCTCACATCGTCCTCCCCCTGCTCCTTTTCGTCCTCATGCTCCTGTTCGTAGTCGTCGTCGTCCTCCCCTTCCTCCTCCTCCTCCTTCTCCCGCTGAGTACGTGGGTTTGCGGAAATCAGACATCACACAGGGAAACGAGACAAGTATCTGACGGATGTGTGTGTGTGTGGCCGGACTTTTGACGCCCGTGTGGATACTTCCCAGGTCGCGTTCGAGCAACGTGTGTGTGTGTGTGTGTGTTCGTTTGCGTGTGCGTTTGCGTTTGCGTTTGCGTGTGTCTGTGTCTGTGTCTGTGTGTGGTACCTACGGATACCGCCCCCTTTCCTCGCGGCGCCCAAGCCTCAACCTAAAGCATCACCTGAGTCCATTCTCCACTTCGCCAGCACCCGCGACCTCAGGAGCGCCCGCACTGCCCATCCCGCCGCAGCGGTCCCTGCCCCCGCGGCCCCGCGGCTCAGCGGCAGCGCTGCCGACCCCCCACCTCCGCCTGGTGGCCTCCGCGATCTTCCCCTCGTCGCCTCCGCGCGGAGCCGGATCCGAGTGGCGGGGCCGGTGTTCCGGCTGGAGTTTACCCCCCCGCCCGAGCGACACTTGGGCTGCCAGTGGAGCAGGGGCTGGACGGGCTGCCCCCAGGCCTCGCGACGAGGCAGCCGCCCTCCCCTGGCCCGGCGGCCGCACTCCCGCGCCAGCCTTCGAGCCTTCGGCAGCGAGTGCCGCGGCGCAGCGCGCTTCCTCGTAGCCCCAAGGCCCGACATTCGTGGCCCCTCCCGCCTGAGAGTCGACCCTCGTCAGCCCCCCAGCTGGATCCGGGGGGCTCGGTGACTCTTCACGACGGCGCGCTCTCTCTTCGCAGCCTGGGCTCGTGATCGTGCGCCCCCCATATCACCTGTCGGCATGTCAGGCGATCGTGGCCGCCATGGCCCTGTCGCCACCAGGATGCGGGCCATCTTGGCTCCGCGCCCGCCGCTCCCGTGGCCCGTGCCCCACGAAGGGACCCGCCTCACCTGTGATCCACTGCGAGTGCGGCGGCGGTGCGTCGATTGCGGTATCTTCACCTGGCTCGCTGCCGCGGCCGCCGCCCCCCCCCCCCCCCACGCTCCCCTTCCTCGTGCGGGCCCCGCTCTCTGCGTGCCACCAGTGCCGCGGTTGGCCATGGGCGCAGCCTTCGCAGCGCGGTACCACCCACCCGCGAACCACTTCGAGGGAGCTCTTCGCCGAACTCCGCGCCGGTGGTTCTCTCGGCGCTGCCCCGCTCAACGACATGGGACAGCGCGCCGTCAGCGGCTTCGTCTCCGTTCCGTTCTTCCACGAACTGTGCGAATCCGACGTGGCCTCGTGCGACCAGTCCCAGCCATGCGCGGTCTGCTGTCCGCCGAATCCTGCTACGCCCTTCCGCGGCAGGGCTCCCTTCGATCGGGGAGCCCCGCGGCCTGGCCCAGGATCATGACCTCATGCCCGCGCTGCCATGCCCGCTGGACCATTCTCGAGCACCGCACGCCCTACGTGCTCGGCGTCTGCCCCAGCTGCGGCGACCCCTGCCTGGGCCCCTCGGCCATCCTCGGCCGCCGCCGGGCCTCCCGACTCCGGCGGTGGTGCTGCCCCAGACGAGCACAGCCCGCCCCCCACGGTCGAGCAGTCCGACCGCCTGCCTCCAGTTCTCTGGGTTATGGCGCGTCCTTCGGGTACCATGCCTACCGACCTTCGCTGGCCCGCAGCGTTCGAATAACGCTAACGTGGTCCTCCAAGGCCTTTGCATTCTTTTCGCGCGTCCCTATTGTACGGGTTCATTGAGGGGCAGGTGGTCCTGCCCCCGTGGTTCCCGAGGGCCCAGTCTCCCTCCCGTGGGAGACCCTTTCCGACGCCAACCTGCTGCGGACTCCTCCCGGGAGCCTTGGAGCCATGGGAATGACGTCCGAGCGATGGCGAGTACGCACTGTCCGCCCCAGCGCCCAGAAGGACCGGCGGCCCAGTGGCGGGCCCCAAGAGTTTGCGCCACCACCACCTCCGGCCCTCCTCCCTGCTGTGCCCTCCACTGCCTCTCCTCTCTCCTGGGGGAGGGAGTGGGTGAGGGCGGTGGTGGTGGTGGTGCATATCTTGGGGCACCCGTACGGGTGGGCCCCTACTCTCCCGCCCGCGCCGCGCCGGCGGCCACCCTGACGGCACGGGCGCGGCCGCCCCGCGGGCGGCCGCCCCCGCCGAGGACGCACGTCCCGCGGGACACCAGGGCTCCCACAGCCTCTCAGCCCCCACACGACGCCCCCGGCGCGGGACCACAGCGACCCGCCTTCGTCTCCCGACCGCAGCGCCATCAAGGGCTTCGATGGCATCAACTGGTTTTATACTTCTGACGATCCTTTCGCGCCTGACGATGGTGACGGTAATTACTCATGACGAAGAGCGGCATCGCAACGCGGTCATCATTCCGCTCGGCTCCTCCCGCCCGGCCGGTGGCCCCAGCTGAGCTGAGATCGAGAACGCCTTCCGCATGGCACTCGACGAGTGATTGGAGTCCGCGGGCCGCTAGGCCAGTGACTGAGGGTGCGCCCGTTAGGCTTCCCGCCCCTGCTGCCTCGAGCGCGGATCTGCCCACTCTTGGCGCGGGGCGTCGAGCCTATCGTTGCCTCCTTGGGCTGGCCGCCCGCGCCACGCCGCCCTCCCCGGTCTGCCGCCTCGCCCTGCTTGGATCGCCTCGGCCTCTGGTGCTCGTACTCGGCCTGCCCCGCCACGCCCTGGTCTGGCCAGGCTGCGGGGGCCTGCTCTTGCTCCGCGCGACGTGGTCCCTGGGCGATCCGCCAGGAGCCCCGCGGTGTCGATCCCACGTCGCCTGCCTCGCTCACGGTTTTGGCCTCGCTTGCCTCCAGCCCTGCCCTGCACCTGCCGGGGGCGGCTGGACGGCGCGCTGCTTGCCCGTCGCTTTCAGTCCTCTCCAGCCTCTGGACGGCCCTCGCCTCTCGGGTCGTCTGGGTCTTGCTGTGCGCGCCCGCCGCGCACGATCCACTGGGAGTTTCTCGGCGTCGATCGCCGCCTCGGGTGGCTCGTCCCTCGGGTCAGCCTTGGCCCCCGCGGCCCGCTGCTCTCCTCGGGCGGTGTCCGCGCTCTCGGCGTCCGCGCCTCTCCCGGCATCTCGGCCTCTTTCTTCGCGGCACGCCGCGTTTTTCCGGCCTTTTGGGCCGCCGCTCCAGGTCTGCCGATCGGTTTTCGCCCCCTTGAGGCTTCCCATCCCCAAGGGCGCCCTCGAGGGCGCGAAGTTATTCGCGCTTCGCGCTTCGCGGTTCGGCTCCGATTCCTCCTCATCCTCCTCTTCTCCCTTGGGAGGCGGCGCGAGAGCGCGAAGTTATTCGCACTTCGCGCTTCGCGCAGCGCGAAGCGCGAAGTTGGGAGCCCTTGCATCCCTCGGTTCGCCCCGCCCGGCGTGGCAGCGCCTCGCTGCTGCCCCTCCCCGCCTCCGCCGCCCGCGGCCCCCGCCCGCTGCCCCGCCGCCCCCGCGGCCGCGGCCCGCTGCCTGCCCTGCCGCCCCCGCCCGATCTCCCTCTCTCCCTCCTCCTGCTCCTCCTCCTCCTCCTCCTCCTCTCCTCCTGCTCCTCCTCCTCCTCCTCCTCCTCCTCCTCCACCACCTGCTCCTCCCCCGCCCCCGTGAGGGGCCAGATCGACTTCCCAAGGGTACCCTTGCATCCTTGCCTCTTTGGTCATCTTCGATCCATCCTCAACCACTGTCGATGGCCAGCCCGGCTCGAAAAGCTTCGGCATGGGCGTCCAAGGTGTTTGCATCCTTATCGCGCATCCTTCCTGTCAATTTTGATTGCGCCCTGCCGCCCCCGCCCCCGTGAGGGGCCAGCCGTCGCCCCTCTTCTTTTTCCTCCTGCCGACACTGCGCGCGCGCGGCTCTGGCCGTGCGGGCGCCCGACGCGCTGGCGAGTCGCCGGGCCGTTACGACCCCAAATATGCGCTCGCGTGTGCCTGGCCCGCGCGCGCCTCCTTCGACCTTCGCCCGGCTCCGCCGCGCTGCTGCGCGCGTGGCCGCGACGCCAAAACAACTGTGTGTATGTGGTTGTGTGGTTGTGTGGTTGTGTGGTTGTGGTTGTGTGTGTGTGTGCGTGTGCGTGTGCGTGTGCGTGTACGTGTGCGTGTGCGTGTGCGTGTGCGTGTGCGGGTGTGCGTGTGCGTGTGTGCGTGTGCGTGTGCGTGTGTGTGTGTGTATGTGTGTGTGTGTGTGTGCGCGTGCGCGCGCGCGCGCGCGTGTGTGTGTGTGTGTGTATCGTCCCTCCCGCTCGCGCGTCCGCGGCGTCCCAGCGCCACACGGAGCCGCCGCCCGCCAGCGGGCGGTGCCCCTCTTCTGGGGCGTGGCCTCGCCCGAGGCGCGCGCGCGCCCCTCTTGTCGTGCAGCCCGCAAACGGCATGGCGAGCAGACCGTGTGGTGAGTCAGTGGGGATCCTGGGTGGCCGCGCGGTCTTGGGACCCAGGCCGTCCTCGGGTCTCGGAACCGTGCGGTGACGGACCGCGCGGTGGGGTTTTTGAGGATGTAGAGGTCGCTGCACGTCGTCGTCGCCGCACCGATCTGTGGCCCCCAGCCCCTGGCCCGGTCACGTGAGGGGGGAACGCATCGACACCCCGTCGCCCATAGATCGCCGATAGGGGCCGATGGGGACCCGGTAGCCCACCCAGCCTGGGGACTTATGGTTTTGCTAATTACCGAGAGCCTATCCTCGATCTATCGGCAATGTATCGCCGATTCCGGGGCGATGTTCCCCCCCTTGAGTCGCTCCCCTCCCTTACCGTTCCCCCTCGTGGCAGGCGTGAGGTGTTTTGGTTTTCGAGTGCTGCGACCAGCAAGACCTTTCGCTTCTCAAATTGTGGCCTCCACAGTGGTCGCACGATGGCTGTATATCTGCGAGATGGCAGGATCGCTGCGACCAGCAAGCCCTTCCGCTTCTTTCTCTGGCGTTCCCAGTGGTCGCACGGTGCCCGCAGATGTGCGAGAGGGTGGGCTGTGCGCGGCCGTCCACGCCTCTCCGCCTCCGAGCCCCGTCTCCCCCCTCCTCCTCTCACGCCGCGCCCCTCTTCTCTGGCGGGATGCGCCGCCTCCTCTTCTGGCATCGCTCGGACGTGCTTTTTCTCGGCGGGGACCACCGAGGATCATCTTGCGAAACACGCACGAACTCGACAATGCAGAAGGAACGGACGTCCGAGCTATGGCGAGTCCTTGCTCAGCCTGATGAGAGCGCGAGGGGCCCCCCCGAGCACCTCAGCAGGAGGAGGGGGGCGGGGCGTCCCTGGCGAAAGCTGCCAGCCAAGACTTCTGGCGGACTGCGTTCTTTGGTTCCTGCGTTCTCCTTTTATCCGGGAATCCGCGGGCCGTGTTTGGGCCACACGGCCATCAACAGAACGATCGGGGTTGACGAACCACCCTTGCGAGAGGGATCGAGCCCCCGTGGGGCCCGCGGGTTGACAAGCCTCAGCCCGTCGGGTTCTGGATCCCAAAAGGCTATCTTCCTTCCCGAGGCCGTAGACAGCAGGGGGCGGGGCAAACCAAGTATTGAGCCTACGCAGTGCGCGCCGGGCAAAGGGGGCTCAGCGCGCAGACAGAACGCATCTCTATCCCTCGATGCTTGAACATCGCCGCCATCTCTGCCCTGTCCTCCTCGCGCCTCCCTCCTCACCCCTCTCCTGCCATCCGAGCTCCATCTAATACGCGCGCCCTCTCACGCGAGCCGCTCCTCCTCCCTCCCCTCCCCTCCTCCCTCCAGGCTCCTGCCCCCCCCCCCCTTCTCTGCCGCAATCTGCGGCCCCATGCGCGCGCCGGGCGCCTGCGTCAGATCGCGCGTGGGCCTTCCTCTCTCGCGGTGCCTCACGCCGGCGGCCCGCGCTGGCCACCGCGCAGGGTCGCCGCGCCCTCGTGCGTGAGGCCAGCCTGTCGCTGCTGCCACGGAGGCGACGGGGGCCTCGAGGGGGGGCGCGGAGTCCTGGAGCCCGCGTGCGCTCCCCGGGGGCCAGCCCCCCCAGCCCGAGTCGCCCTTCGTCCGCCCCCCGGGCCCGTGGAGCCGCGGAGGGTCCCCGGGGGCCCGGAGCACGGCGAGCGGCTCCCAGGAGCTTCTCCTCTCCGGGTCCAGGGTTCCCTCGCGGCGACGTCTTCGTCCGGGGAGGGTCAGCGGCCCCCCCCGATCCGTCACGGGGGTGCCGTGCGGCCAGAGTCGAGCTGGGAGTCCCGCCGCGGCGACGAGGACGCTCCGTGACGCCGAAGAATGGCGCCCCCCAAACGCCTTCTTTCAGGACTTGTTTTCTTCGTGCGAGCCCAGGGATGTTCTGTTGCCAGCACAGCAAAGACGCCGAACACAGCGACACTCCTCGAGCCTTGGGTTGTCCCAGCGGGGCTGTCGTCCATAGGCTCGCTCACAGGGTGGCGGCTGGAGCAAAGGCACTCGACGCTGAACTGAACTAAGGAGCAGTTCGGGTTCGGAAGGGGCTCGCCGTTTCTTCGGTCCCTTCATGGCTGTTCCTCTATTGCGCTCCTCGTGCGCCAAGGGGTTGCTGGGGCCAAAACGGTTCGTTCCCTACTTTGCGTCCGTTCTGGTAGAAGATTCACTGTGCGGTGTCCCCAGGAGTCCCGACCGCTTCCCAGGGACCGACTTCTACCCCGAGTCTCCTCTGCACGGCCCCAGGGACTGGCGAGGGCCTCGGAGCCCGAGAGCTGCGACGCACATGTTTTTTTTCTGGTGCGTTGGAGGTCTGGGAGCTTTGCCGCCAGGCAGCCGGGCTGGTGGCGCTGCGGCGCCCTGGCCCGCTGGGGGCGAGGACAGAGCACACGGTGCTGAAGGGCCTTGGTGCTCCAGGACTCTGTCGCTCGACCCCCTCGAGTTTCCGCGCGCCCGCGCGCAGGGTCACATGGAGGACGCCGGCACCGCCGGGGAGGCCAGCCTGGAGGAGGAGCTCGCGCGCCTGCGCGCCCGCTGCGCCGCGCTGGAGGCGGTGGCGGCGGAGGCCGCGACGGCGCGGGAAGAGCACCTTGAAAACGGCTGCTCTTTCATGGCTGGCTTGGGGGGGTCTAGAATTGCTCGTCTGGGAGGTTTACCCCTCCTTCTCTTTTATGATGGAATTCGGGGTAGGATGGACTCTGGGAGGGTCGGGTGACTGGACTCGAGCTGCTTCTCGGGAGACCTCTGACGGCCAGAAAGGCGCTCGCGCCCGCGGTTTACCGCAATCCTCGGGTCGTCTGCGGGCGGCTTTTGGGCCTGGAGGCCGCCAACAGCAAACGGCAGGTCCCTCCGCGAGGACCCGGGGGGGCCCACGCCGCCAGGCAAGTCGTGAGGTCGGATATCCAGTTGGACTCTCTCTTGCAATCTCGGGCCTTTCGGGACCATCAGAGCAGGTCCGGGATGGAACACTGGGCCCCTCGGTTCCAGGCCGCCCGAGTGGCGTCGAATCAGGCAGGGCCGGGCGATCGCTTCGCATCGCCGATGCACCGACGATGCGTTTCGACGCGGAGCCCGACGTGCACCATGCTGGCGCCGCCGATGCAACGCCGAAGTCGCCGATGTATTTCCGATGCATCGGCGGGGGTGCCCGAGGTCAGTTACGCGTAAGAGGATCACGTCGCCAGCGTGACCTTTCGCGCGGTCCCACATGGAGTCCCTCGGGCACTGGCCTCGGCGCCTGGATGTGGCCTCCCCGCGAACCGGCCTGAAGCCGCGCACCCGAGGCCGCTCTTCTCTGGGGCCACTCCTGCGTGCAGCCGACGGGGGTCCACGCCACGAGCAGGTCGTGAGCTCGGGGGGCGCCCACGTGTTCTGGACGTCTGCGGGTCGCCTCTCTGCCGGCGCGGGGCCCCCGCACCCCCGTGGGCCCGGTCCGATTCGAGTCTGTCGCACACGCAAGTGCGACCCGATGCGGCCCGAGGCCTGCGTGGCTCTGCTGTGCATCCTGGCGCAGCCGACCCGGTTCAATTTCGACTCCGTGCCGATGCAGCCCCATTGATGAATCACCACCCACCAAACCACCCCAACCCAACCCGAAGACTCCAATTGTGCCCTCCGTTCCGAGTGTGGGGGGGTCGGGGAACATCGAGCAACCACGTATGAAGCCCGTACCCCCCCCCCCCTCAGCCCAAAAGTCGGATCTTCGGGTTGGGTCGGGGGTGGTCTGGTAGGCAGTCAATCGACTTACCGATGCGATGCCGTCTGGTCCTGCCCCCTCCCCCCCCTGGCCCGCCTCGCGCGCGCAGGGCAGGGGCGCCGAGGGGGGGGGGGTCGGCAGGCGCGGGCGGGCAGCTCGCAGCGTCGTGTGGGGGGGGGGGGGGCAGGCTCAGGGGGCCTGGCATCGCTTGGAGGTGTGCACTTGTTCGCGACAAGGACCATCGACGAGCATTTGGGGCCACAGTGCGAAGAATGCGCGGGCGAACGCGAAGACTGCACGGGGGAATGGACGTCCGCGCGATGGCGAGGGGGGATGCTTCGACCCACTGGTCGCCGATAGGGGGCTCGACAGCCCGCCCCGCTACCGGGGGCCTGTCGCCTGTCGCTGATCTATCGGCGATGTATCGCTGACTCGGGCTCGATGTTTCCCCCCTGAGCTGGTTCGGTTCTCGGCTTTGCCGTCGCCGTGGACGACCTTGCGTCGAGTGCAGGAGGACAGTGTGCGCCTTGCGCGGACGTCTGAAGCGCGCGCGCGCGTGTGTGTGTGTGTGTGTGTGTGTGTGTGTGTCGGGTGCTCTTCCGTCTGCCGTCTCCATCCGTCGTTCGTCGTGCGTCCGTTGCGCCCCAGATATCCGGCGTTTCGAGTATAGGAAACAGTAAACATGAACTTGAAACAACATGATACATCGGGCGCCTTGGAAAGAACAGTAAACAATTTTCGTTGCCGAATTCGGGCTGCGGACGGAGACGAGGGTCGAGGATCGAGGCGAGGGCAGAGGCGGGGGCCCAGGGCGACGCTCCCGACGTCTACCTCGCCACGCGACCGGTCGCCATCACCAGCCAGCTGGACAGGGCGTCGCCGTGGGTCGCCGAGTTGACGCCGGGCGAAGCCTTCGAGGTTCAGAGGAGGAAAAGGTACCAATACCCCTGCTCGTCCTGGAGAGATCTCGTCGCCACGGCTGGATTCTCCTCGGACGTCCGGTCAGAACGCACCGCAGGAGAGTTACCTTCCTGTTGTTCCAGGTGGTCGAGGTGCAGCACGTCGTGCAGGAGCAGCGGGTCCGCGGTCGCGTGGAGACTCCGGCAGGCTGGGCCCAGGATAGGGGGTAGGCGGGCATCGGCGAGTCTTTTTTCAGCGCCCCCTGTAGCTGCTGTCTGGGAGCTGGCCTGGAGATCCGCTCAGCTCTGCGCTGCAACTGGATCGTGCGGAAAAGCTGCGGTGCCGATGCTTATAATAGTCGTGAGCAGCAACAGCAGCCCACCACCTACGGCAGTTTCGTGTTGTGGCGGCGCCCCCAGCGTGGGCCTTGTGGGTTGACCGCCGCCTGCGGCCCAGAATCGGTTAAGGTTGAACGATTTGGCGATCCAGAGGAGGAGGAGGAGGTGGAGAAGGAGGAGGAGGCGGAGGAGGAGGCGGAGGCGGAGAAGGATAATCAGGAGGCGGAGGCGGAGGATGGGAAGGCGGAGGCGGAGGAGGAGGAGGAGGAGGATGTGGAGGAGGAGGAGGATGGGAAGGAGGAGGCGGTTGAGGAAAAGGAGAAGGAGGAGAAGGAGAAGGAGGGGAAGGAGGAGAAGGAGGAGAAGGAGGAGAAGGAGGAGAAGGAGGAGAAGGATGCTGATGCTGATGCTGATGGTGATGATGATGATGATGATGATGATGATGATGATGATGATGATGATGATGCTGCTGCTGCTGCTGCTGCTGCTGCTGCTGCTGCTGCTGCTGCTGAGGAGGAGGAGGAGGAGGAGGAGGAGGAGGAGGCGGAGGCGGAGGCGGAGGCAGAGGCGGAGGAGGAGGAGTAGGAGGAGGCGGGGGAGGAAGAGGAGGTGGTTGCACGAGCCACGCGGTGTCAGAACCCAGCGCCGAAGTCGTCACGACACGAACTTGCCGTAGTCCACCCCCCGCTCCGGCAGGCTGGGTCTCCATCCTGGCCACCGGGGAGGACAGCCTCCGCTGGGCGCTGCGGGTCGGCGACGGCACCGGCCTGGAGGAGCTGCGCGACGCGTGCGGCGCGTCCAGGGCGAGGATCCTCGAGCTCGAGGCGGAGGGGGAGGAGCTGCGCGGCCGCGTCGTGGAGCTGGAGGCCGCCCTGTCGCAGATGCGCGCTGCGGTGCCAGCCGGCGGCGAGTCCGCCGCGGAGCTGGAGGGCCTCGCCTCGAGGCAGCGGGTGCGCATCGCCGAGCTGGAGGCGGCGGCCGCGCGGGCAGACGACCTGGAGGAGCAGCTGAGCCGGCAGCGCGACGCGAACGCGGACCTCGAGGATCGGCTGGTCCGCGTGAGCGAGCTGGAGGAGCAGGGCAGTGCCGACCTCGACGAGCGCCTCAGGCGCGTGGCGGAGCTGGAGGCTCAGGTCGCCAAGCGGGCGCGCGAGGTGGAGCTGCAGATGGCGAGGGAGCGCGAGGAGTCGGCCGTCGCGCAGCAGGAGGCCATCGCCAGGGCGGAGGCGCTGTGCCGCCAGGTGGCCAGGCTGGAGGCCGAGTGCGAGCAGCGGGACGCCCTGCTGGGCGCCCTTCAGTCGGAGCGGGAGGAGCTCCTGGCCAAGGTGTCGGTGCAGGAGCGGCAGCTCTGCGACTTGGCGCGCCCAGAGGCGGAGAGGGCCACGCCGGGCGCGGCCGAGGCGGAGGCGCTGGCGGTGCAGGTGCGGACGCTTGAGGCGCAGGTGAACGACCTGACGGAGCAGCTCATCGCCGCCAGCGCCGCCGAGGGCGCCCCGCGCGAGCTGGGGCCGCGGGCTGGCTTTGTCCAGGTGCTGGACACCGCGGTCGAGCGCGAGCGGTTCAGGGAGTCCCTGGCGGGGAAGCGCGTGCTTCATGTCAAGGGTTTCGGAAGCGGCCGCAGAGAACCGAGTGAGGTGGACGCCTCGCAGGAGAAGGAAGCGTTGCAGGTCCTGAGCGGGTTCAGCCCCGACTTCTTGGTTGTTGACGGTGACCCCTGGGGGTCGGGATTTCAGTTGTACGTGAAGGCCCTCGTCGACTCCATGCGTGCCAGTGGCAGCACGGCTCCGAGGGTGATATGGGCCAAGCACGTGGCCCAACTGTTGGAGGATGGGACTGTCGCAGATGCAAGCGAGCGGGCCAAGAGACTCGAGAAAGCACAAGGCTGGGCTGACCAGGGCATCTCGGTGATAGTCATGTGGCTGGCCAGCAGGGAGATAGAGATAAAGATCGACGACATGTTTGGGCCAGGTACCTTCGCAAAGCTGGAGCCTCTTGATCACAGTACGCGGGGAGGTGTGCGGATCCTGTCAGAAGCATCGCCCAAGTGGTGGCTGGGAGTCGAATCGACCCTCAAGAGGGCAATCGTCGACGTGGAGCAGAGGCGTGATATGCAGTATCCAGCTGCCTGCGGCAAGTACGGCCACCTTGCCAGCCCAGCATTTTGGGTGGCGACGAATCGAGGGGGCACGGCAGGCCGTCACGTGTGACTCCTCGATTCTCTTGGCTTGAGTCATCAAAGGGATGATGAGGAGTATGAGGATGAAGAGAATGGTGGTGATGGGTTTCGATGGTGGATGTGCTGATGACGATGCTGCTGATGATGATGAAACATTATGGTGATGACGATGGTGATGCTGAGTAGTATGATGATGGTGGTGGAGTTGATGCTGATGGTGATGTTGCTGCTGCTAATGATGATGATGCTGATGCTGATATTGATGATGATGATGATGATGATGATGATGATGATGATGATGATGCTGATGATGAGTGATGGTGATGTTGATGCTGTCTTGGGCCGTCTTGGGGCTGTCTTAGCCTCCTGTGAGGCAGTCTTGGGTGTCCCTTGGGACCTTCTTGGATTGTTTTGGGTTCTTCTACTCAAGCGTTGGGTTCTCTTGGGCCGTCTCGTGGTCCTCCTGGCCGTATGGTGGGTGTCTGGGGGCTGTCGTGGGACTGTCTTGGCGCCGTCTTGGGCCGTCTTGTGTCCCACAGGAGGTCCTCTTGGGCCGTCTTAGGGGCTGTCTTGGATGCTTCTTGGGCCATCGTGGAGTCCTCGTGGGCCGTCTTGAGCTGACGGCAGCCCGGATATGTGAGAATGCAAACATAAGTTCAAGGACCGCGAGAAATCGATGATGTAGGTTTCTTGTGGCCCCTTTGGGGCCCTTTTGGAGGCATCTTGGGCTGCCTTGAAGCAATAGTCGGCCGCTTTGGGGCCGTCATTGGCCGTCTTGGACGCATCTTGGGCCATCTTGGTGTCCTTGGTTCCTTGCACCGGTCGTCTTTGAAGCTCGGGGCGCATACATATCAATGGTTTTTAACAAGGGCTTCTAAACGAGGGATCGTGGGTCGGGAGGCCCTGGAGCGCTTGGGAGCAGCGCCTGGGAATGCAGGACGTGCTCGATCCTCGAGCGGGTGCGCGTGGTATGAGGGGTCTAGGAGGTAGCAGCCATGCGGGAAGCGCGCAATCCTCGAGCGGGCGCGCATGGAATGAAGCTTCTGGCATCACGTAGCAGCTATGTGGGAAGTGCACCATCCTCGAGCTGCCACGAGTGGAAAGGGGGGGTGAGGCATTACCTGCCATCCGGGAAGTGCACAATGCTTGAGCGGGCGCGCATGGAGTGAGGGTTCAGGCATTAGTTGCCATGCGGGAAGTGCACAAACCTTGAGCGGACACGCGTACTATTGGGGATTAGGCATAAAATGCCGTGCTCGTCCTCGACCAGGCACGAGGGAAGAGGCCTCGGACAGGAGAGTCGACGCACGCAACAGTCCGCCAGTAGAGGGGGCTGGCTGTCCCTTGGTAGAGTTCGAAAACCCTACCAGACAGACCTTGGCATTCTTCCACGCCTCAACGTGCCAGGGTCACGGTGACGGACTTCGAGAAGTGCAGCTTCGAGAACGTTGCCAAAGGCAACACGATCTTCGACGCTTTGCACAACCCCGCGTGCTCCTCGCACGGCGTCGCGAGCCTCGGCGGTGGAGAGAGCGTGTTGCTCGAGCTCGGGTCCGTGTACCTGAACTCCGGGTCCGGCTTCGACCGCTCCAGGGCCGCCGTGCTCCCCTTCGGCCGCGGGAGGGACACAGACCCCAGGCTGCCCCGGCATGTGGGCGCCGCGTTCCTCGGGGGTGGGCGCGGGCGACCAGCACGTCCACGTTGTGTGCCCTCGCAGTCTGGATTCCGGGGCGCGACCCCGCGGGTGCGCCCCGCATCGGCGGGGTCGCGGCCGGGGGCCCGGGCCGCGAAGGACCGTGGGACGTGGACTGCGTGTCTCTCCCAGCCCCGCGAGGTGGGCTCAGGGAGGCGGCCGCGCGCGCGGGCGAGCTGGAGGCGGAGGGGGCGCGGCTGCGCCGTCGCGCGCAGGAGTTGGAGGCCGAGAGGGGCGCGCTGCTGGAGCGAGCGGAGCGCGACGCTGGGCGCCTGGCGGCCCAGGCTCGATGATCCTCAGACCGTCTGTTGGCCCAGTGTGTGCCTGCCCCGTCCGGTTCCGCCGAGAGCACACGGCCCGCGTCGGTTCCCACAACGCCCCGCCCTACCCCCAGGAAGCATTTAAGAACCCCCCCCCCTCCGGCAAATCGATAACCCTTCCGCACCCTGGAAGCGTTACCTGGCAGCAGGAGCCCTCCTCGTGTCCGGGTGCTACAGCTATCGTTCGGCTATTTCGGCCCCTCGGAATATCGAATAAAAAATGCGGTGCTACGGTATCGCCGGGGGGGTTCTTAAATGCTTCCTGGGGTTACTCGAGGGCTTCGAGGGACGAGCCCCGCCAAGGGGCCCATTCCTCGATACATAGCCGCCTCCGGCGCCGGGAGGCGCCAGGAAAATCAGCTACGCGAGCTGATTCTCAAACCCCCCCTTTGCTATCCCCCCCTTTCGCCCGACCCGATGCTCGAGGGCTTCGAGGGACGAGCCCCCGTTGGCGCCGGCTCGTGTCCTCGCACGTCCTGCGGGATCACCAGCAGGCGGCGGAGTGCGACGGGCTGCGGCGGGAGTGCGAGAGGCTGCGGTCGCCTGCGGGCCCCCCAGACGACGCCGCCTCGGAGGTCGACGGGCTGCAGGCGCAGCTGAGGGGCCTCGAGGATCGAAGGAGAATAATCATAATAATAATCGTAATAATAACAATAATAAAAGTAATAATAATAGTACTAATAATAATAGTAATAATATTATTATTAATAATAATAAGAAGAATAATCATAATAATAGTAATACTAATAATAATGATACTAGTAATTAGAAAATAATGATAGTAGTATTAATAATAGTAATAATAATAATTAATAATGAGTATGCTAATCATTTCAGTATGCATCATAAACACAAGCGCTCGGACCTCCGCGCGGATTTCTTGAATCGGCGCTGGGCCACCCTGGAGGCGCCTCTGGCACCGGCGCGCCCCGCGCGCCGGGGAGGGGGATCCAGCTCCACGCGCCAGGGAGGGGGTCCAGCGCCCATGCCCTAAGTCCGCGAGGAGCTCCGAGCGTACATGTTTATGCAGTTGTTTCCCGATCGTCCTGTGGTGTTGGCTCCTCGTTTTGAAGCGACAGCGCCCTGCGTTCGTTCTCACTCCTCACCCTCTTCCCTCCTCACATCATCGTCATCATTCTCATCATCATCAGCATCATCATCATCATCATGGCCATCGTCATTCATATGTTTGTTTTTATTTTTGTTGTTCTTATTATCATGTTGATCAAAGTGTTAGTGTGTAATGTATTAGGGTTATTGTTATGGTTATGGTTATTCGGATTAGTGTTCTTCTTTTGTATGGCTAATCGTATCATCATCATGTTTCGTATGATTTGTGTTGATTTGTTACTATTATTCGTGTGAGCATGCTTGTTTGTATGGGTGCTATACACGTGTTTATCATTAGTATTGTGATTGATATTGTTGTCGGTTGATATGTTTATGTGTATGTGTAAGTATCATTAACCTTACTTTGACCCGCATTATTACCAATGTATTATTCGTATGAATAGCATTCTTACCACCATATTCGTATTATTATTGTTATTCTTATCAATATCACTATTACTTTGATGATAGTACTATTATGTTTATTGTTATTATTAGTACTATCAGTGATATTAGTATTACTATTACAACTATTATTAGTATTATTCTTGTTTGTATTATTACTATTATTACTAGTATTATTATTACTATTATTATTATTATTCGTCTTCTTATTATTTTTTCGATGACGTTGTGATCGCTTCGCTCATCCCGCCGGCCCATATTGCCTCGCCGCTGTCGTTTGTCGGGGTGTTGTTGTCCATGCGGTGCGGTTGGGCGGCTGCCACTTTCGGGTGGCGGTGGGTGGCGGGTCAGAGGCCTCACGGATGTTGGTTGTGCTCTCGTGGTTGGCCCCTCAGGGGGTTTTTGGGAGGCAGTTTTGAGGCCTTTTGTGGGCCGTGTTGGGGCCTCTTGGGGCCTCTTGAGGGTCTCTTGGGGCTTCTCGGGGTGCCTCTTGGGGGCCCCTTGGGGCCTCTTGGGGGCCTCTTGGGGCCTCCTGGGGTCCTCTTGGGACTGAAGGCTGGTTTTCCGGTTCATTGTCACCTTCTTGGGCCCCTCTTGGAGCCGTTTTGGGGCTCTCTTGAGGCGTCCTCTTGGGCTGTCTTGGGGCCATCTTGGGCCGTCTTGGGGCTGTCTTGGGGTCCTCTTTGACCCTCTTGGGGTGATCTTGGAGAGTCGGGAAGCTGAAAAAGGAGAAACCCGAACATGTGTCCAACATTATGGGGAAACCAATGATTTTTGCCTCTTGGGGCCCTCTTCGGAGTGCTTTTGGAGGCCTTTGGGGGCGTCTGGAGGCCATTGTGGGCGTCTTGGCGCGATCTTGTGGCATCGTCGGCCGATCTTGCGAGGACTCCAAGGGCTCTTGGACCGTCTGGGCGCTCTTTTGAGGCCGTCTTGGGCGCCTCTTGGGCCGTCTGGGGGGCCTCCGGCATCTCTGACGGGCACGTGCCGGGACTTTGGCGGGGTACTTGTCGAGTCGGGGCCCCCAGGGGCCGCCTCGCGCGCGCGAACTTAGCTTGTTACTGGAGATCTTAGCATGCCTCTGGCCCGTGGGGCCGGCGAATTATCATCATTATTAGGATGATAATGAGTACCGTAATTATTGCTATTACTATTTGTTGTGTTCTTCACGCTTCTCGTAACCCTTCCCGGCCCATCCAGCAACGTTGCCCAGGCGCGTTGCCTTGATGAGGGAAGTGGGGGAGCATGCAGAGGAACAAAGGGCCGGGAAAACCGTCATACCCAAAGAGGAGGAGGATGGATGAGGAATCGGATGAGGAGGATGAGGAGGATGGGGAGGAGGAGGAGGAGAAGGTGGAGGAGGAGGAGGAGGAGGAGGATAAGGAGGAGGAGGATGAGCAGAAGGAGGATGATAAGGAGAAGGACGACGACGAGGAGCACGAGGAGGAGGACGAGAAGGAGGAGGAGGAGGAGGAGGAGGAGGAGGAGGGGGAGGAGGAGTATGGAGCAGGGAGGAGGAGGAATAGGCGGATAAGGAGGAGGAGGAAGTGGTGGAGGAGGAGGAGGAGGAAAAGGGCCAGCAGAAGGGCCAGAGGCCTCGTGGGTGCCTCTCGGAGTCTCTTCGGATGCCTCTAGGGAGTTTCCTGAAGGCGTCTTGGGGCGTCTTGAGGGCCTCTTGGCGGTCCCGGGGGCCTCTTGGAGCTTCTTGGGTGCTTCGGAGAGCCTCGTTGGGCCTCTTGGCAGCCTCTTGGGGGCCTCTCGGGAGCCTCCTGGGGCCTCCTGGACGCTTCTTGGGGCTCTCTTGGGGCTTTCTTGGGAGCCCTGGAGGGCCTGCGGCTGTTATGGAGGGTGTCGGTGAACAGAGGGGGATCTTACCGTTTCATCTCCCCTCTCATTTGGGCAAACCCCCATCACACGTTTCGTGGCCCCATACGGAATCCCACCGAAGCTCCCTGTTGCGCAGTTCGCACGCGTCCCCGCCACCCGTTCTGGCGCATCCCTCACACGTTTCGTGGCCCGCCCATAGGGGAAGCCACCGAAATTCCCAATGTCACAATTCGCATGCGCTCCCACGCCTATTTCGGCACCCTTCGCGCATTTCGTGGACCCACATGGAAGTCCTCCGAAATTCCTTGACACACTTCGCATGCGTCCACCCCGCGGGTGTTCTTTGCACATTCCGTCGCACGGTTCGTGGCCCCATAAGGATACCCACCGAACGTCCCAGTGGCGCAGTTCGCATGCGTCTCCGCCTTTCATGTCCGCACCCCCGTTCACACGTTTCGTTGCCCCATGGGGAGCTCCACCGAGGGTGCCATTTGCATGGTTCGCATGCGTTCCCCTGCCCATTTGGGCACACCCTTCACGCGCTTCGTGGCCCCATAGGGAGCTCCAACGAAGGTGCCACTGGCGCACTTCGTATGCGCCCCCCCGCTCATTTCGGTGCACTCCTCACACGCTTCGTGGCCCCACTGGGATGTGCACCAAAGGTCCAAGTGGCGCAGTATGTGTGCGTCTCTGCAGGTGATGTGTTCGGCACACCCCCATCACACTTTTCGTGCCCCTCCTAAGGAGTTCCACCGAACTCGGTACCCACACCGCGCTATTTACAAGTGTGACGGTTGGGTCTTCCGCCGCGCGACTTTGCCTGCCAGTCAGTCAGGAGGAGAGGGCCGAGCTGGCGCGGGCGAACTCCTCGCTGCAGGCGAGGGCGGAGAGCCTGCGGCTGGTGTGCGCCGAGCAGCAGGACGAACTGTCGGGCGCCCGCGAGGAGGTGCGGGCCGAGGCGGCCCGACAGCAGGAAACCGAGGGGACAATACAGTACGGTAGGTTCGCGTCGTGTCGACCCTCGTCGACCCCGCCGCGGGAATTCAAGGTTGAACGCCGCTATTGGCCCAGAATCGACCAACAAGAAACGATTGGGCGATCGAAGAGCTGCTGATCGTTCAAGGTTGAACGATCTACGCAGTGTCAGAAACCAACGCCAGGGTCGCCACGACACGAACCTGCCGTAATAGGCATACGTGATCGGAGGTCCGCGCGGATCTATTGGGTTGGCCCCAAGGCACCCCACCATCGTGATTCTCAGATTGTCTCTCCCCCTTGTTTGACACGTTGCGCAGCTGCCGCTCGCACCTGGCTTGAACCATGGGCTACTACAGCGACGGCTCCCAAGGGCACTGTGCAGCTTTCTTGCTTGGCGGCACGCAGGTGATCCACCCTCTTCGGGGCTCACTGACCTGGCTCAGCGCTAACGGGGGTCACCCAGAGCGCCGGATCGGATCCTGCAGGATCCTGCGAGGCGGGGTTTTGGCTCCGCAAGGCTTGGGGGCCAGCCGCGGCCCCGGAGGTTGCTTGCCCTATCGGCTGCCTAGCCGGGCTTGGGACGCCCTTCTCAACAAACGCAGCGCAGTTTTTTCCCCAGATTTGTTTGTTTTGTTTTTGTTTTTTTTTGGTTGTGTTTTTTGCGCTGAGCTGGGTTAGTCCATGCTCGAATTCTCAATCTATCTGCCGCGGCGCCGTCAGGGCGCGGCCGTCGTTCGCTCGCACGCCTGCCGCTCCTCCGCAGGAGGAGCTCGTGCGGCTCCGCGACGAGCTGGCCGGGGCGCAGGGCGCGCGCGCGGACGCCGAGCGCCTCCGCGCGGAGGTCGCCGCGCTGGTGGCGCAGCGCCAGGAGTTCGGATCGATCGAAACGGGTACGGAACGATGTGTGCTCGGTGGGACATGAGAGGCAGCGGGCCTTCTCAGAGGGCGGCGGGGCTTCTCAGAAGCCTTCGCGCCGTCTGAGAAGTCTTCTGAGGCTTCGGAAGCCACAGGCGGCTACTCAGAAGGTGCGAGGGTATTTGAGAAGCCCCGCCGCCCTCTGAGAAGGCCCGCTCCTGCTCATGTCCCCCCTGGGCTCGCCGCCGATGGTCGTGGGTCCCGAACCGCGCGGTGACCTTACAATCCCAAGAGGCCGCGCCGCACGGTCCGCCACCACACGGTCCTGGGGCATCGAAGGCCCCGTTCGCCCGAGGCGTCTTCGGAGGACGACCCGAGTCCCCTATCCGTGCGGAGACCCCGAATCCCCACCGACTCACCACTCGGTGTGGTGTCCACGCCGCTTGGGGGCCCCGAGCTGGGCAGGAAGACCGGCGGCAGCTCCTGCCCACTCTCCGTCGGCGTCGCCGCGGGCGTTGCTCGTTCTGGCAGCAGAGGCCGCCTGCCCAGGCAGCGGCCGCCGATGCTCGGGGCAAGTAAAACGACGCGAAGATCGGGACAAAATCGGATCGGGATAACTCGAAATGTCTGAGAATCGGCGGGCTTGGAGGATGTATTGGGCGCCGCGGCCGCTCCAGAGCGTTCCGGAACGCTCTGAGAGCGCTCCGGAACGCTCTGGAGCGATTTATCCCGATCCTAGCCCTGTTTTAGCAAGAGCCGCCGTTGGGGCAGGAGACGCAGGAGCAGGCGGAGGGCCAGGGCCGCCTCGCGGCGGAGGTCGCCGAGCTGCGCGCCCAGAACAGGTCGCTGGCGAGGGCCGGCGAGGCCCTGAGCCTCGACGTCTCGCGCCTGCGCGAGGACGCGGAGGATCCGGGCCTCCCAAATGGGGTCCGAGCCTCCTCCTCCTCCTCCTCCTCCTCCTCCTCCTCCTCCTCCCGCACCCCGAGCGGAGGTCGGCGGGCAGATGCTGCCCCTGCCTCCTTCTCGCCTTTTGTTGGCCTTCTGGGAGGCCCTCGTCGCCGCCGCTGGATTCGCACCGAGATTCTGGTCAGCGCGCACGCCAAATCTTATGGTATGTGCGTCGTGGCGGGCGCTTTGTGGCCACACCCCTCGAGACACGACACACGACACGATGGGTGCACGACATGTTCGGTCCGGACGCGCGCGTTCAAGGAGGACACATCGTACCAGTATGCCCCTGTGCGTCCCACCCGATGTTCTCCTCGCCCCGTCTTCCTCTTGGCATCGGCGCTGCGGCGCGGTCCTCCGTCGGAGGACCTCCGTCGGAGGACACCAGGATCGGTGTATATGCCTTCTTGCGCAAGGCAGGAGGGCGTATACACCGATCCTGGGCCCAGGGTGATCCTGGCCAGGATCGGTGTTGGTGTATAGTTGGTGCCTTCCTACTCCGACCCCGGCGCCTCGAGCCGCCGTTCGCGGGCCGTGCCCGAGGAGCTGGAGGCCGCGCGCCGCGCCCTGGCGGTGGAGGTCGAGGAGCACCGCCGCCTCGCGGAGCAGTCCGCCGAGGAGCGTCCCCGGCTTCGTCGTCGTTCTCGTGGAGAGCCTGCGATCTGCGGAGCTGGGTCGAATAGCGTCTCCCTCGGTGGCCGCAAGGGTTTTTAAACAGGCGAGTACGCGTGCGGCTGGTCTTTGTCAGTACAAAAAGTTGAGAGCCTGCGATCGTCTGCAGCGTTCACTTGCCCCGAATTTCACTTCCGCGTCGAAATCTGGGAAACCGTTTGCAGACGTGTTCGCAGATCTACGAGCATTCTGCGCGGTTTCCGTCGGTTCGACGGCAACTTAAATTCTGGGGCAAATTAATTATGTAGTCGATCTCCTACTCGGTCTTTGTCATCCCAGACCTCTAACGCACTGAACAATTTTATAGACGGGGTTTTCACCGCTTTCGGTCCCCATGGGCCTTCGTCAGGCACTGGCAATGTATCACAACTATTCTGGGCGAAACACCGGTCCCCAGAAAGTGGCCCAGAGCTCTTGGGGGTCTCGTTTTGACAAAATTTTAGACGCTTCGCGTAACCCCACCAGCTTTCGGCTTAGTGAGCTGCTTGGAGCTTGGCGCCGACAGGGCGACTTCTCCGTTGCACTCGCACTGCGGTCTGCTTCACTCCGGTGTGGCCGGCGCCCATGTGCGTTCGCTTTAATGCGGAGCATTTTGCTCAGTGCACGTTTGTCTTGCAGGTGCGAGCTTTGTCCGCCGACTCTGGCGGTAAATTGTCTTGCAAATTAGCCTCGCCTGTGGCCCAGACGACGCTTTCCGCTCCCTGTCCGTTGCCTCGGAGCCGCTGACCAAAAAAGTAACCCCACCACCGTTTTCCCAGTTCGGCGACGGCGAATCCGCGTCCGCCCGCGACAAAAACAAGTAACCCCACCACCTGCTGTTGGACCTCCTGGCTTCGGCAACCCTGGTATTCCGCAGCTCGCTGACGCTCACGCCTTCGCTGGGCACACATTTCGGCTTTTGGCAGTCGGTTCACTTGGCTTCGGCCACCCTGGTACTTCCGCGGTCCCATGGGTGCCTACGCCCCTGCAGTTACTTTCTTCGCAGCTCGCAGACCCTGGCCGCCGACCACCCTGGCAGCCAACCCATCTTTGCAGCGCGTTGTATGCGTGCACAGTGCAGCTCTTCAACAGTTGCCGTCAGCCCCTTCCCACTCGCCGGCCTGGCCGCTTTAGGCGTGAGGCTTCGGCCCACCGCTTTAGGTTAATTCGTCTTTGCGCGGCCTGCTCTGACTGGACTCGCCGCTGGCGCTCTCGCCTGCGGCCGCGGACTAAAAAATAACCCCACCAGCCCATCCAGAAACGATGCCCAGGCGAGTTACCCTGATCAGGGATGAAGAGGAATATGCAGTGGAATGAAGGGCTGGGTCCAAAAGGTGGAGGATGGAGGAGGAATCGGATAAGGAGGAAGAATCGGAGGAGGAGGAGGAGGAGGAGGAGGAGGAGGAGGAGGAGGAGGAGGAGGAAGAGGAGGAAGAGGAGGAGGAGGAGAAGGAGGAAGAGGAGGAGGAGGGAGAGGAGGAGGATGAGGAGGAGGAAGATGGGGAGGAGGAGGAGGACGACGAGGCGGAGGTGGAGGAGAAGGAGGAGGAGGAGGGGGAGGAGGAGGAGGAGGAGGAGGGAGAGGGGAAGGGTGAGGAGGGAGGAGGAAGGAGTAGAAGGAGGAAGATGAGGGCGAGCAGAGCAGGAGGCCCCCGAGGGATATTAAGGCCTGGCCCGGGCCAGAACCCCATCTGGAGCTCCCGCCCCCAGTTTCGTTTTTCTGATTTGGGGAGGGGGCCCTGTCGCGGCTCACTGGCTGGGTGGATCGCAGCCCAGTCGGCGAGTGACAAATTCTGAGGGCCCCTCGAACTTTTATGTAGTGGCTCCGCCATGACACCGCCCTTTAGGTAGGCAAGAGGCAAGAGGAGGGCGAACATAAAGACCAGAGGCCTCCTGGATGCCCCTCGGAGTCTCTTCGGAGTCTCTTCGAACGCCTTGCGCGAGCTTCTTGGAGCCTTCTTGGGGTGCCTTTGGGGCCTCTTGGCAGTCCTGTGGGCCACTTGGGGCGTCTTGGGCGCCTTGGAAGCCGCCTGGAGGCACCTTTGGGGCCTCTTGGGAGCTTCTTGGGGGCCTCTTGGGGCCTCCTGGGCATCTCTTTTGGCTGTCTTGTGGCACAATTGAGAGCCTCGGGGATCATCTTGTGGCCGTCTTGGAGGAAATCGATCAAAGGAGGGGCCGTAGTAAATTTACGCCCCCCCACAAGGAGAGGCCAACATTGACGCAACATCTTATTAACATCAGTGTCTTCGGTCTTCTCGCCGAGGCCATCTTGGACGCACTGACACCTCGCGAAACGCCCCGTCCAGGTCCAGGAAGGAGCCTGTTTTTTAAATTCCGGGCCGATGACGGCCGTCATCTGGGGGGGGGAAGGGGGCCGACCGATGACGTAACGTTTCGCGCTGGCGGCGTCTGGGAATGCTTCGGAATGACCGAGGACGGGTAACAGCAGCATGTAGGTGGCGATCTGCGCCACAGCGCCTGTGTACACCACAGTGCCTGCGTGCACCACGGCGCCTGTGTACACCACAACGCCTATGTACACCACAGCAGCCGCGTGCAACACAGGGCCAGTGCGTGCCACAGTGCCTACGTGCACCACAGCGCTGGTGTACACCACAGCGCCTGCGTACACCGCATAAGCCGTGTGCAACACAGCACCCGTGTAGACCACCGTCCCCGCGTGCACCACAGCGGCTTTGTACACCAGGGCACCTGTGTTCACCACAGCACAGCAAAGGTGTACATACAACTGATTACCATTGTTGTATGTAGTTTTTTCGAGATAGTCCTTATGACAACTTGGAGCGCTCGCTTGTGGATTCCACAGAACGAATACTTCCTTATTTAGGATTTGGACGCCACACCTGATTGAAAGAGCAGCGCCGCTGGAATCTACGAGTCCTCCCGGGTCCTCCCGCCTCAACCTACTCCTCCTATCTGCGTCCAGAAAGCTCCTGAGATTGGCCGTCCGAGAACCAAGTGGACTGATTCAATCGACCATCCTGCGGTGCACACTGAGATGCGCACGTTCCCTGTAGCGCCGACCCGAACGACGGGGAGAAGGGTGTAGGAGGAGGAGGAAGAGGAGGAAAGGGCGGAGATGAAGGAGGAGGAGGAGGAGGTGGAGGAGGAAGAGGAGGCGGAGGAGGAGGAGGAGGAGGAGGAGGAGAAAGGACACACATCGCATGCCGTTGTCAGCAATTTGCTGGCGTGGTATTTAGCTGTCCGAGACAAATTCTCACCTAAATGCTCCTTCTACTTGTCTTGCGCACTCAGACACTGGGTGTACACCAGCGCTGCGTTGCACGCGGATGCTGTGATGTACAAGCATTGTGGTGTTCTCAGTCGCTCTGGTGCACGCAAGCCTTGTGGTGTAGACAAGCGCTGCGTTGCTCACGGCTGTTGTGGTGTACGTTCGCTGCGGTGAACACATGCGCTTTGCTGCTCGCAAGTACTGTGGTGTACACCAGCGCTGCGTTGCACGCGGATGCTCTGATGTACAAGCCTTGTGGTGTTCACAGTCGCTGCGGTGCACGCAAGCCTTGTGGTGTAGACAAGCGCTGCGTTGCACACGGCTGTTGCGTTGTACATTCGCTGCGGTGTACACGCGCGATGTGGTGCACGCGAGCACCGTGGTGTATACAGGCGTTGTGGTCCGGATCGCCACCTACATGCTGCTCCTATTTGGCCCCGATCATCCCTAGGCATTCCTGGATGCTGCCAGCGCGGAACGTGACGTCGTCCGGGGGGGGGCGGGCGGGGCCAATGGCGGCCGCCAGCTCAGAAAAAAAATAGGCCCAATAGGGGGTAGTGGGAGGGGTCAAGGTACCCTACCCGCACGCAAGTTGTCTCGCTCACTCCCACCAGCCCACATAGTATACGAGCTTCAGGATGTAGGATTTTCAACGATCGTCTATGGATGGACAGCTACTGGAAACCAAAGCAGACCCAATGTGCGCGACGCTGGGGCGAGGTGGGCCACGCGTGCCACGCGCCCCAACCGCGCCAGGCACCCCTGGGACCATAACGTACCAGACACGCTTGGCGCGCCAGATGCGCCACGTGCTTTACGTCCACCATGAGTGCTGCATGGTCCAGCCGCGCCATGTGCGCCACGTTCGGGGCATGCGCAGAGTGTGCCAGGTGCGCCCGCCCACGTGGCAGCACACACCGGGGAACATGTCGGCCCCCACCATCTTTGTCGATCTGTCTGGTGGGCCTGGACACAGCAGGCAATGTGCCAGCCCCCCCGCCGTCCTTGTCCAAAACCACTTGACAATGATCGGTGGGTGGCCGTGCATGATCCAGATTCAGCCTCGAATCTGATTTTCCAGTAGTTTTCCCAAACATCCTGTGTTGGGTCTTCGTTTTGAAAAGACAGCGTGCCGCTCTCCTCCTCACTTCCCTCCTCCTCTTCCTTCCTCTTCCTATCATCACCCTCATCGTCATCATCACCATCATCGTCATCAGCATCGTTGTCATCACAACCATTGTCGCCATGAGCTTGTGCACACTCCTCACACGTTTTGTGGCCCCAAAGGGAGCTCCAGCAAAGGTCCCAGCGGCGCAGTTCGCATGCATCCCCGCCACCCATGTCGGCACACTCCTCGCATGTTTCGTGGCCACATATGGAGCTCCACCGAAGGTCCCAGTGGCGCATCTCGCATGCATCCTCGCCAATAATTTCAGCACACCCGTCACATGTTTCGTGTCCCCAGGGAGCACCACCGAAGGCCCAAGTGGCGCAGTTCGCATGCGTCCCCGCCCCTCAGTTTGCTTCGTGGCCCGAGAGGGATCTCCACCGAAGGTCCCAGTGGCACAGTTCGCATGCGTCCCCATGGCTCATTTCGGAACAGCAGTTACACTTTTCGTGGCCTCATATGGGGCCCTACCGAAGGTGCCAGTGGCGGCGCAGTTCGCATGCGTCCCCGCCACCCATGTTGGCACACCCCTCACACATTTCGTGG